AGAGAAGTATTCTTCGTACCCATTATTAAATTAAATATTTCAAGCTTCCATGTCCTTCCCTACGTAACCCTATCCTGGGCAGGCATAAATCTTTTATACAACATGCATAGGCCAGCCTATAGACAATCGCATATTCTCGGAACTTTTCGGCAATCTCGGAAAAGCACCTCGAGTGTATTTCCATCACCGGATGCTAAAATTTTACAGAAAATGGAGTCTCTTCCTATTTATTTAAGTATTGGAGATACAGAATTGAGTGTCCCTTCTGTAGTTCATTTATATTTTATATATTAGGTACTCCCTTTACATTCAATTAAGTTAATTTCCAGACCCTACAGGTTAAAGGCTCCCAACATTTATTTCAATGTTTATGAAAAGGAGGATTGTCATGCACGCCTATACGTAACACATTTCCGTTTGCCGGAAAGGTCCGAGAAGTTGTGATTGGCCTGTAGACACACTGTTTCCTAGTTCTACATGTCCAGAAGTAAAAAAGTATATGATTTTTAAAGCCTTAGGTTATTTTAATTTGAGTCTTTATCTCCCGTTTCCCTGGCCAAAGGATTTGACCATGAAATTGCCTCAGCTGAAGAAAAAGGTTTGCAATACTATATACATTTCATCGAACTGAACTTACAAAAATGCTGCAAGTACTCATTAAAAACAAAGTACCAAATCACTTACGAACCTGCTTTTTCCTAAAAGTGAAAGCACAAAACAAACCTTATGTTATTAGAATTTCTGAGAGTAAATTCAAAGAGAGGTCAAGAATGATTATTATGAATAATTCTTTATCATTATTATTATGCATTTTGTGGATCAGATTCAACATTTCTGGCATGCTTGGTAAGTAATTGGGATGCTGCCGAGAACCTGAGAGATAGAATGGTAAATGCTTATTAACCTAAAACATCAGTCATATTTTGTTCAATAATGATAATTGCTGTGAAAAACCATTTATTGACATAGCTCTAAAATATATGGAGAAGGCTTGAATACGCAGTATCTGCTGTCTGATACGATTACATGTACTGTTGTACTGTATACGTAGCTTACATAAAAATAAGTTTATATATATATATATATATATATATATATATATATATATATATATATATATATATATATATATATATATATATATATATATATATTTATATATATTTATATATATATATATTATAAAGAATCGTAGAAAATGGCACTTTAATCCATAGCGCTTTCGACTCTTGGCTCTTCAGTGAATAACAATAGTAGCATGTATATTATATATTACAAATAACTTCTTCGAACTTTGTTTATTTTTCAGATCGGAGAGGGTTAACAAGGTGTATGCAAATATACAATATTAGGATGCACTTTTACATTTATTTACTCTGATACAAAAAAGAAAAGTAATGCAATCGAAAAAAGAAATTAAAGACTCGTTTTTATGCTTTAAGAGAAAGCAAAGATAATCGCTAGATAGAACTTAAATTTACAAAAGAATTAAAACACCGCATTCAAAATGATAAACACAAATAAGGTTATGACATTATATTGATTTCACAAGTTAACACAAAAGGTTGCATCGACGAACACTTAAGATTACAAATCTAAAGTATTTGTTAAACCTTCCGTGGGTAATGATCACTTTTGTACCTGGAGCTTTTAAATGAAATAACGATTCAATTTTTGGTACAAGACTATTGACAGATTTAGTTTTTGAAATATTTTTGACATTTATTCGAACAGAAAATGTTTCTACTTGAAACAATTACATCATTTCATTTACTTTTATTTAGAACAATGTTTTGATTGACATTTTTTCTGTTGCATTGTTTAGGTGATTGGCATCCATCGAAAAACTAAGCAGGGAAAAAGAAAAAGTTTGGGCATTCTCACTTGTAATAGTTGATGTAATTAGTGGAGTGTAACTTTGAAATTATTTTGTGGAATAAAGAGCTGGCTATGACATGGTCCTAATAAGGTGTCTGATTCATCTAGACATTCAAGTCAAAGAATGACAGAACAACTCTTTGTCTCTCTCTCTCTCTTAAAGACGGAATACTATGATAGTAACTTATAAAGATAATGAATGTTCTTGTCAAAGTCGGTTTCCATAGGAACAGATTTATTTCTCGATCCTGTATTGGCTAATACATTTAATTTCCCATATTCAATGGCTTTAATTCAAACTTCGCCAGAAAAATTCGCCCAGCCTTCCATTCTTTCCCCATTTAGTTTTTTTTTTTTCAGACTGGTATTAAAGATGATCGTTGACAACACAAGATAGAGCATTTGACATAAAAGTAGTCATAATGCAGATTTTTATTGATAAATAGAAAATATGTCAGAAAGACAGTACTTATCAGAGAGGACGATGAAGTGAGAATTCTGATTCAAGAACAAGGTAGGATAATGATAGAAATTTCGTAGAATATATTACGTAGGGTAATAGGCTGCATAACAGATAGTACATGTATAATAGGATATATTTCATGTACATATAGCATGACGGGTATGATAATATCTCTATCTCTCTCTCTCTCTCTCCACCATCTTTGGATGACTCTTGGAAGGATACAGTAAGTAAATATAATCAATTTTAAAATTGGAACAAAAAGTTATAGAAGACAGCAAACACTAGAGCAATGGGAAGGAGAAGAAATGTCAAATTCCTGAATTTTATCCGAGTTTCAAATTTATTTTTTCCATATTTTTTTTAGGTAGATAGTGCTTCAGAAAAAGAGAATGCAAATTAATAAATCTGTCAAATTTATGGATTTTAGTCCAATTTGAATAGAACTTTGCATAGAGAAGCATTGCTACTAAAATTTAAAATTTCTGTAAAATTCTGTCAAAAACTTAATCCTCCTACAATTTTAATCCGATTTCTATTAAAACACATATGTAGGTGAACAAGTAGACTACCCCAAGTTACATATAATCTTGCATATTGATTTTTTAACTTCGATGAACAGTGTTGTCATGGTTACTAAAAACAAAATTTAAAGATTTTTCCCCATAATAATTCACTTCCAACAGTTTTTGTTTGATTTCAATAAAACGAAGAAAAGTTTAAACGGTGTTGCCATAGTAAGTAAAAATAGAAATTTCTAAGAAATTCTTTTTTTTAAAAAAAAGGTTACTTCTTTTACAGTTTAGTTTTTATTATAATTACACTTTCGTTCACAAGTTCACTACCCCAAATTACATGATCTTGTTCACTGGGTTTTAATTTCAGTGAACAGTGTTGTCATGATTAATAATTTTTTGTGATTTTTTTGTTGTTGAATGTTTCGCCTTTTTCATTTCAGTAAACAATCTAATTAAAATTAGATGTTCCGAATCCGCTACCGCTTCTCAAAGCGGTAGCGGATTCGGAACATCTAATTTTAATTAGGCTGTTCAGTAAACTACTGTAATACAAGTATGAAGAACATACAGTAAGCATACATAATTCTGTAAATGAGAAACTTTAAAAAAAATGTTTCTGGCCCAAGCTATGTGCAAGTTTCCTCTTTTCATTTTCATAGGAATAAACCAGTAGACCTACACGTACAGTTTCAGAAGCTTCTGGTATATATCCTGTAATTTTAGACTTGATTCCAGTGTAGTTCTGTTAAATCCAAGGATTATGTTTTATTACTTGAGAGTTAGTCAAAACATATTCAATGATTTTTTTTACTACTCAACTGAATGAACACTGTTTGCTAAATGTAATAATCACATGACGTGTTACGTTTTGTGTCGTTGTTACATTTTGTGACGTTAAAAGGTCTTACAGAATCTTCTCTAAGGAATTCAGTATTTCCATACATGTACCAATAAACCAAAGTTCAGTTAGGGCTTGTTAGCATTGTTCAGTAGTATCGATCAGAAAATGGATATTAAACAGGATTTTGTTTAAATGCCAATCTTACATAGGAAAACAAATACATGTACCCTGAGGTTTGTTGAAAATTAAAAGAATCCAATCGGAGGGTTGCAGAAGAGTGTGTGAGTGTGTGCACACAACTCTAAAACATTGTAAAATGATCCTGTAGTCAAAGATACTTTTACATGAAAAATGGGTTTCAGCCGCTAAATAAAGCATCAATCACTTGAAAACGGAAGATCATTTGCTCTGAGTGGCCACAATCAAAGCATCGATAGAAGGTGGCTCGGAGTAAACAGCTAGATTATGAGGCGGATAAAGGGGTAAATGCCGATTGACTTTAATCACATTTATCGCAGTAAACCTACAGTTGTTTGGGACAATTATAATTACCGGCGAAATGCAATTGACGCGAAAATGATAAATGAAATGTTACATGTCCAATCAGCATCGAATATCAATTATTGTGCTGTAAATTGATTAACAGGATCGAGACCTCTTAAGAGCGTGACCAACTCGCACTAGTTCATCTGTGCGATTTTATCGCGATCGTCTGATAAAAAGCCCAGTCCCTACACCCGATACTCATAGTTGTAATAAGAATTGATCAGTTACTCGCCTTACGTGTTAGAGAGGAGAAAGTCGAAGATAGAGCCGATTCTGAGACCACAGAGGCACAGTCTGCATGTGTGTCAAGCATATTTTGTCGTCTTAATTTGAGTTTAATTGGTGTTGATAGTTTCTAGCTCCTTTGTGACATGCGGAATTCTCCACATATGAAGTTGATTAAGGAGAAAAACACACACGAGATCTAGATATATCGCATACTTTCTGTTTGGATTATTGTTTTGCAAAAAAGTGAGTATTTTAAGTCAATTAATTCATTAGCTGTTAGGGGAAGCACCGATTTGATCCACCGACCTCTGGATGGTTTGATAAAACGATTAAGCAATACCATGCGTTTAGTCATGCTAGTGATATGATATTTCAAAAGAAGATAATTTAATAACTTGTATATTTCCCCCCACTTTGTTGGTGGTCTGGACACGGATATGATAATGCGCTGTACATTTCATGTATTTGGTGTTCAAGGCTCTCGTAATTTTGAGATGCCTTTAATGTCCACCACAAACATTTAATGAAAAATTAGGAAATTAAAATATTAATTAGAAATTTTATTCAGTGCGTGTTTCAGCGCCAGACTGTTCAAGTTTCCGGGTTGACAACAGTCGCTTTACGTCTGAATTAACTCAGCATGTAAAAATCTTACTTAAATATTAGTTTTCTTTCTATTTGTGGACAAAATATTTGGTGGTAAATCATGCTGTCAGAGTTGTCGTAAGTAATAATTATTTTGATGTTGCTTTTTCATTTGGTACATAAAAACATCTGAAAAGCGAGGACAGAATAATCTAAGCCATTAGAAAAGTTGTCAAAACTGTCTAGCCTAATTTCAAAATTTGGTTAATTACATTCTTTGAGAAACAGTTCGTATCTTAAGAGATGAGGCCAAGAGATGATGGGTGTATTTTTCAGTCTCCTGGTATCCTGTTTTTGCTGCGAAGATCGTGTACTTGGTATCCGAATCAAAGTGGGTTACACGCACATTGCTTAACCAAAAATAATTTATATGAGCGCATAAGATTTATTATTAGGTGATAAATGTTGAAAAATGATATATTCCATGAAATTCTTTTAAGTCTTTATAGATATCATGTGGGTGATGTTTTATTGTTCTGTAAAAAAAAAATGTCATTAAACGTCTTACTTTCGAGGAATTTTAGAAATATTTACCAACAAACCATTAATTAGAATTTCCTTGCCTCCGAGCTTGAACTCTTCGACTTCAAGGCTAACACTTTACGTCAAAAACCAGCGAGCTTCAATAAATAGCGGATTCTACTTCCCTTCGATTCAATACACTTTAATGGCTTTCTTGTTTGCAGTAAAAGCTTTAAATAAAAAAAAAATGTGGTAGGCATTAATTCATTAAAAACCCAATTAATCTGTTGTGAATTGCCGTCTTACAAACTTTTTATTAACTTCTAATGAATATTGATTATGGCGGGGTCGGTTCGCCTGCATCGGTGTACTTGGACAGCTGAATCAATGGCCGACCTCTCAAGCGTGAATAGCTGATTTTTGTCAAGGAAAAAACTGTATATGTGTAAAACATTTTATTATGCTGTCTATAGTTTTAGTCCCATGCGGCCTGTCCGTGGGGAGACATTTTCTCTCACAAACGATATTTTTTGGGAGATTCTTCCGCAGAACACTCTACAAAAACAGTTATGACCTCTGACGATATAAAACACTGAATTAAGTAAATGAGTTTTTTCGCAGCAAATGACATTGATATCGGCTTTAAGATTTTTGGGACTGATAATGCATGCTTAAACTGTTCGTCCAGCGGGCTGCCAACATGAACTAACGCAATCTCTCTTTTGTTCTGCTTATTTTTTCCAGAACGACATACCAAAGTAAAGTTAGGGGTTGTGAACTTTAATTAGTGAAAGTTGTCTGTCAAGGAGACAATGAAAAATTCAGAACATACTCAACGTGAGCAGATTCCAAGGAACGTAAAATAATGGAATTAATTCACAGTTGGATGATGGTGTTTTTCACTTTTAGTTCGCTGTCTTCTGTGACGTTTATTTCAGGTAAGACTTAAAAACATTTTTGTTAAGTTTAGTAGAATGTGTGGCGATAAAACAGACATTTCCAAGGCAAAACATTAATTGGAAAAAAAAAAGCGAACTTGAATTTGGAAAAAAAGAAAGTAAAAAAAATCCGCAATTGAATTGTTTTTTGCTAAAACAACTTAGAACAGCTCAAATTTATATTCATATTTTGAAATTCATTTTAATCCGAATTTCTCATTCTAGTGCAGAAAATATGCATGGCTTAATTTTCATTTTAAAAATTCTATGAAATAGAACATGAGTTTCATAAGGAGACAGCAAATTTACAATATGGATGAAAAATACTTTTCAATTCACATCCTGTTGCAAGCAGCGATATGGATAAGTAATTGAGTCAAAACAATTTGACGGAGCAAACCTACATCTGTATAAATTCCTAATGAGAAATGTTTTTGTTTTATTTCCTGAGTTGTATGAATTTTATTACCAAACTGTCTTTAAAGAGTTGCCATCGACATATATAAATGCATACAGCGTGACATTATACCCACTTGAGGTTGTCGTAAAATGTAAATTTTTGTTTTTGGTATTTCTGTGACTAACAGTTTCAAGTACCTCTTGAATGATCGGATACTTGGCCTACATATTTCTACTGTTTTAAATGTGAACATTTTAAGTTACAACCTGTGACAATTGTTTGACATGCAACATTTGACAACTTACCAAATCATGTTTACCTATTTCTTGCCTCAAATATTCAAAATTTGTCATTCATATTTTACATTTACTACTTCTTTCTTTAAGGGGAAAACATAATTAAAACACTTGATAGGTACGTTATACAATGGAATTAATTTGTTAAAATCTTGACGATAAGTATTTGATATTTTCTGATATTTAGTGTCTATTTTCTGATATTTAGTGGCTATTTTCTGATATTTAGTGTCTATTTCTTCGAAAGTAATACAAGAGCGAATTGCACTTGTATGGATTGAAAAATAAATATTACAAACCTAAACTATTAATGCTATGCTATTTTTCGTTGCTTATTTCAGAAATTTAGTGGGAAATCGCAGTACGAAACTGCAACAATAATGTTAAGAGGCATGATGGAATGAGATTAGACATAATTGTTTCCTTGTCTCTATATTTATCTAAGATAAGATGAAAGAAAACAGAACGGATCAGAGTTCCAGTGACACTAATAATTATATCATTTTGTCTTCATTTATGAGATTCGGGGTCCTTTTACTCATTTGATAACAAATTTTTACTTCCAAATTTACATGTCAAATACCGCATCATATACTCAGTTTCAGATACATGCAATTACATTCTTCGAGAAAGAATTTTATTTCCATGTGGTGTAGCGTGACAAGGATTGAAAAAAACATCACAAGTGTTTGATCGATTCAATTAAACATAATCCTACAATTTGTGATATGCAGTCACTTATTTAATCAAACTAGAACACTATTACTCGCAAGAAATCTCATCATGAAAGTATTTGTTTTGTTATTTATTATTAGAAATATTGAACTGAAAAATAGAATTCTATTTCTTCGACAAGCATCAAAGATAAAACTTAGTCATGCACGTGGTTGAAATGCAATCTGTAGCAAGCCATACTGTTACTTTTTGGCATCACTTTAATTATATTGTAACTTTGAATCAAGAGAATATCTTTTGTTACATGAATAAACTCCCTTTTCAAGTTCAATGACGGAAAAGTCATTTAATAAGTAGATACGGGTTATTTTTAAATGAGCTTTGAAATTTGATACCTCTGATATACATCTGTAATGGATTCAAAGGTTTACAGATATGAAAAACTGAAAATGCTGTTAGGAGGGTTGACTCTTATTCTCTGAGGATCTTTAATTCTCCCGAGGATGACAGGTGCGAGGCTTATCTCCATTTAACACTTGAACAACGAATACATCAGTATTTGTCATTTTGTCATTTGATAGCCTCACTTTTGATAATTAAAAAAAACAAGCAACTTAAGCACTTTGACAAACAGTCAATGTCTAAATTTTTCCATTCATGTACAAAGCAACGGTAAATCAAGATAGGGGATTTAATTAGCGATTCAATCCTGATGTACAAGAGATGGGCGTTGGAGATGCCACTCGCAAGTTTTCATTTTATCAGACGGGGGAAAAAGGAGTTTCTTCAACTTGCTAATGAGGAATTGTCACTGAGTTTATCAAGTGATCGGCTTCCGTGCTGGAGGGGCAATATAAGAAATCCTTAACGCAAAACACTACGATGGCTGCCCTGTACCATACCCTTGAATGTTAGTGGGGAAACTATTGGCATTTCATTAGTGTCTGAATTGATACGTACGTGAAAATCGATATAAGAAAACCCACTCCAAAAGATAATGCAGGAGAAATGGAAAATTTACCGGCATTTTAGCCAATTATCAGCAGTTGAATGTCTTCCTATACTAGACTTTTCATTTTCGTTTTACTGCCGATCACTGGCTATTGCTTGAAAGAACCTATTGCTTACAAGTGCAACTTTTCCTTCGAAATAATGCAACTCATTAAACACCATTTGTATCTTAACATTTTACATCTGAACCAGCTAAATACCGATTTCCGTTAAATTCATGAATGATGTGTTCAGGAGTCAACAGATGTGCAGCCATTTACATCAGTAACTGTTCTATAATATCAAATGAATTTAAGATACAGCACTTCCTACTCGTTCAGACCGATTGATCAGTGGTATCAAATGTATTTTTTTTTTATTTTCCATGTTAGTATTTCCGTCATTTGTTTAATAATTGAATTTCAGTATTGTATGTTTATTTATTAAATTGTATGAGAGATGAAAAGAAGCATTTTTTTCTTTTACAATATTTTAACAAATCAAAGAATGTCAATTTTTGAACAATGATTGAAGCTCATATTACACCTAATATGCAGCCAACGAATTAAAAAAAAATTATAATGATTCATTTCATAACTGAAAATGAAACTCTGTGGCTATTGTTGTTTCAAAACACTCAACATTAAAAATATCTGTAGTTTGATTTCTCTATCCTCTCGAACACCACAAAAGTACATGAATTATATAATATTTAATTGATAAAGTAGGAAACCTAACCCTGCATCTGGTCTAGGATATTAAAATTCTATAGAATATCTCGCACACTTTTATGCAGTAATATAAGGTGAAGCTGATATATATATATATATATATATATATATATATATATATATATATATATATATATATATATATATATATATATATATATATATATATATATATTTATTTATTTATTTGACACAAGCAATTTTAATCAAGCACACTCTTTACTCCGTCGTAGTATTACGAAACTTTGACACAAGATATTTTGCAAGAAAATAAAATAATTATAACAATAAATAAAAATAAATAATTATTATTCACAAAATGATAATAATTAAAGTTATAAAAGTTTTTTTTTTGAAATAACATTTTAATACCCATCGTCATTGGTAACAAAAAATTGAATGTTAGCCTTTAATTCCTTAGACTCTCATCAACTGTCCTCTATATAAACTGGACTTTTCCTCATCAATCAAATAATTATCACGAGTCCTATTCTGTGGAGTTGACTTTCGTCGGTATTCAGTGGGGATCCTGAACGATTCCGATTCAGTGAAACATGTTGGAGGCTTAACATATATGAATGTCATTTTCCCTATCAGAGTCAGATCTGTCGACGAGAAAAATTGTTGCATTCCTTTTATAGATTCCAATTATTTGGTGCAAAATATCCGAAGCATTAAATCAATATTATGACTATATGTCCAATGCCGAAATGTTACCTCTAATTGCTTTTCTACTTACGTATTTTGTAGCGTACTTAAACTTGTCTCGCTGATTTTACGCATTCTGAAGTAATTGTCTTCTCAGATCCCCCTGATTGCTTAGAATTAATGCGCATTTTCCTCGAAAAAAAAAAATGCACGTAGCTATCAGATATCATATGATATCAAATGAAATGTATTTCATGAAAAATAACAGGTGAAATATATTAGTTAAATATACAACAAAATTTTGCAAACAAAATTGTGCAAAACTCAAATATAGAAAGTAAATCTAAACGGCTTTTTATTCGTAAACAATAAAGGAATGGCCAATAATGCTCTGCTCTTGTTTGATGAAACAGTAAACTGACTGATAATAATTGAAGGATTTCAGAAAATGTTTTATCATTTCACGAGTCATTTCGCTACATAAAAAAACAAAAGACTTCTTTTTCATAGATAAAATCTTCCTGTGAATCGATGATAGCAACTAGCAGTATGTGACAAATACCCATAAGTATAAGGAAGAGGATGTTAATTATTAATCTTTTATTAGTTACAACTACGAAAATAAATGATCCGCTCGCCTTCTCATATATTTAATATATTTGTTTTTCTATTAGAATATAAATATTTAATTTCTGTGTTAAAGACTACAAGCGTAACTGAGCCATGCTTTTTACTATACACCTTTTAGCTGTACCCGTCCCTCTGTTAGTAATAATATATATATACCCTCCTGAGAATTATATTTATAATACTTTCTGAGTATCCTGTACACACTTTTCACTGCCAGTGCGAAAATTTGTAGAAATGTCTTTTTGAAAATAATGCTCGTAAAAATAACCTTTTGCTTCTTTCCATGAAGATGTAATTAATGAAACAATCCAGTAATTAATTAAAAAAGCAAATTCATGAGGTGAAAATAATTAGTACGGTACGTGTAATACATTGATTATTTACTCTAGGTACATGTAGTAAAATCAGTGACAAGGAGCTGTTTAACTTTATAAATGAATTTGACGTTTTCTGCAAAATTAAACACTTATATTTGCTTCATTAGACATGAGAAGTGTTAAGGACAAACACAACATAGCTCTGAACTTTTTTTTCTTATTCCCTGTATAATTGAAGATTTCTAAATAATTGAAGGACTTGTGTGCAACTTTTATAATGCCTAATTTTTTCTTAAACAAAGTTTGACAGCAA